TGTATCTTAACACTTTTCAAATCATTTTCATTAAAAATAAAAGTTTTGAGTTTATTTTATCCCAAAATATTTCTGGTACGTCAGATAATACCGCTGTATCCTATTTTACAATTATAATTCTGTTATAAATAAATTTTAAAAAAGTCAACATCTTTCTTTGTCCAATATAAAACTCCTTCTTTGTTTGTCTATAAATAAACTTGAAATTGCAATCTCTTGCAAAACTTCCTTATTTTTCACAATACTTTGCAACATTATAATAAAACCTCCTCATCTTGTCAGACTTGGAATTTTTAAGGAATTATATCTTTTCAATATTTGCCTTTCTTTAAAATTGCCAATAAAATACTATTAAATTTTATATATTTAATTATTTGTTTGGTTTTTTTGATGATCTTTACAATAAAACCTATTTGGCATAAATCTTTAATAAGCAGATTCAAGCCATATACGGCACATCCAAAGATTAGATATACTTATTTTGCCTTAACAAGACTCCAGGCCTTTTTCATATTCTTTGCATCATCAGTTATTAGTGAGATAATTTTTACTACCAATTTCTTCAATTACCTTGATCAGCTCAGATGCGATATAATCAACGAGCACTAGATCCTGTATGGATTTAAAGAAAATTGGTTCTAGAGTCATTACGTATTAATGATGGACTCTTCAAGAATGTTTGTCCAACCATCGCTAATGAGAGTAAAATCTATTAAAGTATAGAATTTGTTGTTGATAATATTTGTCACTTTATTCAAAATCTAATAATGTTTTACTAATTGTATATCTAGATGGAATTCTATAGGCTGGGCGAATTAATTTTTAAAAAAATTGATAAAATATTTATTTTCTAAATGAAAAGGGCAATTCGACATAAAAATAGTACTGTCAAGTTGTGTTTGATTTGGTTACAGTGCAAAAAAATTTCAATTTTAAATGTGCCTGATACATTATTAAAATTATTGGTATTTTCTTTAAGTATCTAGAATAGTTTTATTAATGTTTTTTGGGGATATTATTTTAATAGGATTACTGGAATATGGTATACATACAATATAATATCCTCTTCAGTAAAATTATTATTATCAACTTCATTAAATTGTAAACTGTTAATATACCTTTGACATTTTTTGATATGCTTAGACATCTTTATTGAATTTGGAAAATTATATATCGATTGACAAAATTTGCATATTTATATACCCTTTCTTATTATTAGCTGTAATTTTAATAAAATGCCTCCAGATGTTGGAAGTTTTCCGTCTACTTCAATAAATTATTATACCAGTTATATAGTATGATTAAAGTATAATGATCCTTATATATCAAATTTAAATATATCATTAACTATTAAATTCTATTATATATCATATTAATATTATGTATTTTACCTTTGTTTTTGTACTTTTAAAATTATAGATTTGAAGAGTTGCACTCAATGGTTGCACCAATAAAAAAAAAGCTTAAAGGCTCACGAGGAAAATAAAATTTATTTTAAAATTTATGATATAATAAATTAAATTATAAATCATAATTTTTGAAATAAAATATTATATTTTATAAAATATAATTATAATTTTTGCAATAAAATATTATATTTATATTAAGGGAAAATTCGGGAAAATTTTCTACCTTTAATTCTCTAATTAAAACATTTTAACAAAATCTTATTGATCTAATTTCAGAAGAAATATTCTTAAATAATTGCCTTCCCAAAAGACCTTTTATATCATTAAAAAGTAAATACTCTAAAAATTAGGCTGTGCCGATCCACATATTTTTCACCGATCCGATCCAATATTGGCTCGAACCCGATCTGATATTTATATTGATTTTTCACCACCCCCCTTTGAGCCAAATGTAACTAAATTTGCACTTAATTGAAAGAGCCCTAAATAATGTTGTGTAATAGGCCCAATTTTAACAGATTCCAAAACAGCTTAGTCTAGTTTTTATGTCAAAAAAATGGCTAATAAATAATAATTAAAGCTAGGCTTAGTGTTGTGTAACGCCGATGGACGAATAACCGAACTCCTCAGCCGATGCCTAATTTTTGAATAATTAGTTTTCGCCGATTTTTAAGGCTAAACCTAATTAGGCTTAGGCGAAGTTTTTGGCCGATTATGCCATACCAGTCCTAGGAGTACTTCGAGGGCCCTTCCGATCAAACAAAAGATAAGCTTTAAAATCATATGCTACAATTTTAAATTAAGGACCGATTCCTGGCCGCCATCTGAGGAGATGGTCTACTAATATTTTTAATATGTGTATCATATAATCTTATGTTCTTTTTAAATTTTAAATCAAAAACTTAACCAGTAAAAATTTTTTAATATTATTATTTTTTTATTTATTTGCCATTAATAATTGATATATGAAATAATCAAAAAATTTTATGAAGACGCGAAACTGTTAAAGTAGTGATTGAAAGTGGTGCACTATATTTTGTAGTTATCTACAATAGAGATCTGCAAAGTTAGGCAGGGCTTGGGCCTAATTTTATTTAAATTAATCGGGTAAGGCCGGGCCTAATATTCGGATCGGGTAAGACCTTGGATTTTTTTTAATATTGAATTTTTTATGTAAAATAAAAATATTTGATTTTATTTATTGAAACTAAACTATACATTTAAATAAATTCGGGCCGGGCCGGGTCGGTAAATTTTTTTAAAAAAATTTCGAATTCGGGCCAGGCCGGGCAAACTTTTTTAAAAAAATCGGGCTCGGGCCGGGCCGGGTCGGTAAATTTTTTCAAAAAAATTTCGAATTCGGGCCAGGCCGGGCAAACTTTTTAAAAAAATCGGGCTCGGGCCGGGCTTGAAAAATTAGGCCCGATGCAGATCACTAATCTACAATGTCGCTATTTTTATTTATTTTTTCAAGTGGCGATAGCTAAAAAAGGCTACTTTAAAAAAATAATATTTTAAAAGGATGTATATAAATAATAATTATAACATAAAATAAAAATTTTTCAAATCCTTTCACCTCTTGCATTCATTTATTTAGTGACGAAACTAACGATATTCTAGGTGAATTTACTATGGAAATTAAAGATCTTCAAAACTCGACACCAAGTTGGCCGGCCCGGCCAGAAAATTTTTTGAGTAGAAATTGTCAGGTCCGGCCTGTTAAATTATTTCCGCGGCCTGTCCCGTTTTTTTTTAAAAATCTGGGATCGGGTCTTTAAAATTTTACGAAAAGTCAAAGGTCTAGCCCATAAAATTTCATAAAAAATCAGCCCGGCCGCTTAAATTTTTTTGCACGAATTTTCCGGCCCTCACATTTAAAATACCTATCTATATATCTAATTATTCCAAATTCCAATTAAGGCTCTTATATATCTCCTCTATGTTTATCTATTAATACAAATCGTTTTATAAAAAATTTTTAATATATATATTGTGTATTTGGATTACATCATAAATAACTAATTTTTTGTGAATTTAATATAGATTTAATTTTTTAGTAGGACAGAACTTAAGATACAAAGAAATAAGCATATTGTAATTTATTTTCAAATCGAAATATTAGCTTGAAATTCAAAAAAATATATCAAAATTTTAATTAATTTTACGAAAAATCAAAAACCCTAGACCTTTCCTGAATTTTATATATAAGAATTGCCTGTTCTTTTTATGTATGAATTGTCGGCCCCGAAATTTTTTTATGTATACAAATTGCCTGACTCGACTCATCAAAAAATAATTATTAATTTCCTTCCGAGCTTTCGGACCGGCAGGGTTTTGGAGACCTCTAATGGAAATTATGACAACTTAAAAGGTTGATATTTTAAAACCTCTTTTTATAAAATACAATACTTCAATACCACCCAGTTCTTCCGTTGATATATTAGTTTAGCAAAGGATTATGGGAGGGGGGGGGGTGTTCTTTGTCAGGTGAAAACTTTTAGGGATAAATAGCTAATATAAAATTGATTAATGATTATATTATAATACTCGTCTTTTATTTTGCATATTTGTTTTGTGTTATTTATATTTCAAATTTTAATTTTACGACTATAATTTCATTGTAGCATAAGTTTTTAAAGTATAGACACCATATTTTTAAAAATGAGACAGCAACAGTGCGTTATTATTTTTTCTTTGATTAAGTGGCTAATTAGTAGCGATGCGACTTTTTGGTATTTAAATATTACACGAGATGAGGTATCTTATATTCCGACTATTAAAATGTTTGGAGAATTTATGATCTCACAACATCTAAGAAGCATACTCTAAGTTTTTTTAAAAATTAAATCATTAAAATATCTTTTTGGTTTCCATTCCCCTTCCCACCAATATTATTATCAATTTAAGCTATAGAAATAATTTTAGTCCTGTACGTTTTTTTATTCATAATAAAGCTAATTCTGCGCAAAATTGCCAATTTTTTAAATTTATGAGGTGAAATAATCAACTTTGAGTATCGACCACCGGTGTAGGCTAAAATGGAAAGTATGGTACTGATACAGTATGGGCTCGACGATGAGTAACAAAAGCGATTCGCATTAAAGAGAAATGTCTGCATAAATATTTTTATATAAATTGACGCATATTGCATCTCCTCTTTCAGCTGATATTCGGTGTTTAGAATAGATAATTGGGATGAGGGGATGTAAGGGGGGGGGCTGTATTCTTGTAAAATGTCATTGACTTACAATATTAAATTTTTCCAAAGAATATATTGTTTTATTGATTAAATTTGATCTTCCCTTCACTTCTTTCAATATTATTCTCAATCGAAAGTATTATTTCTTTTAGGTAATTTTATAATATTATTGATATTTAATTCAGCAATAAAGTATTCGTTCCAAATTGTCACTGTTTAATTCATCTTATTCAAAAATTATATAAAACATTTGTATCTTATAAATTAAGGCATCCTTTCCTGCTTCATCCACCCCAACCCTGCGAGATTACTCCCACCCTTACCATACCAATATTTTAAGGCGTACGAATTTAAAAGTTAAATAATTAATTTCTAATATTACAAAATATTACCGTGTGATTATCCTTTTTCGCTGGGCCTTTCAAAAAATTAGAATGGTCCAAATAACTTTGAGATGACCAAGACGACTTTGCCCCGGGCGGCAAAAATGTGAACCGTTTGTTTTCTTCCCCTAAAGTTTTTGAATTATCTTGCTGAGCAGAATAACTCCTAGGTACGAAACAAGACACAGGCCTCTTAAATATTGCATCTTGGGCATTTAAAAATTCTTTTAAAAAAATTATAAAAGTTTGAACTTACAGAGGGCTGGTGTAAATTAAATTCTGGTTCAGAGTTTGCAACAACCTAGAAATTACTTTTAGAATTTATAGGAACTGGTTATTGCTGCTCGGAACCAATCGAATTTAAGCCGGGCTGAGAATCCTCGTTCTAGGTTTCAGGTTTAGAGCCTGAACCTGTTTGAGGTTCAGAATACAGAAAAAATAAGGAGTTATAAAATAGAAACACCAAATTTTTTAAATTGATTTTATTTTATTTAGTATTTTCACCAGAGGTAGGAGGCAGAACACACTGTCTCCAACCCCAATAACCAAGGTAAACAAGGAGGAAGGTGCGTCAATGGGGGTGTATCACTCCTCGCTATAATAATTTGAAGTGTATATTACATCACCCCTCTCCTATATCATTTTGATGCACCTTCCTCCTTGTTTACCTTGGTTATTGGGGTTGGAGACAGAACACACGAATACAGGAATAAAATTAGTATACCACCTGTATAAGTTATTACAATAACCAAGGTAAACAAGGGGACACGGTCAAACCCGTCCGTGGAAATTTTCTGCCAGGCTTTTGGCCCGGTCGTAAAATACAATTTTTATAGTTGTCCAGCCCGGAATAATTTTTTATGAAAGAAAACGATATAAATTTGCCCAATTATCATCTTTAAAAACATTTTCAAGCTCCTGTATGGACCGTAAAAAATATTAACAATTTGTCTACCCTGGTCAAAGGTTCCCGGGCTGCACCGGTTTCTAATATTAACTATAAAAATAATTTAATATCATCCATCATTAAAAATATATATTATATTTGTATTTTAAAAATCATATTCAATATCATATCTTCCAAAATTTGAGACTTCCACGTAAGTCTGAGACAATATAATATTTTATTAATGCTCGTTCACTTTTAAAAAAAAACATTTGTTCGAGACCAGGAAATCTACTTATAGCTAAAGAAATAGCCCAGATAAAATTAAAATGTTAGATGTCTAACTTAACTGGTGGCAACAACAATAAGTATTCCTAAAATATATGTTATAATTATTTAAATATAAATTATACAAAATGATGAGAATAAAAAAACATTCTATTACCCTCTTTAAAAAATGTTATTAATCTCGAGAGTTCTAGGGGTTCAGTAACCGGTACCCACTTTTAAAAATTTTAAGAAAACCGGAACCCCAAAATATTTAGAACCAGAACCCTTTAACATTAAAATATATTTACCAGATTTTCCATTAGCGATGTGTTCATCATTCTCGGGTCTTTTAGAGTCGAAGTTACTCGAAACGGTTATGTAATCAGAGTTCTTAGGGTCTTTACAATCTTTATAGCAGGAAGCTAAGGAATCGTTATTAGCAATGGAAATGGAGCAAGCGGAATCCGGTATAAAATGATTAGTAATAAAATTGCTTCGCCTCAGGGTCAAAGCGGGTGATACAGTATTAGTATGACAAATAAGATCGGAATAATTGAAAAGTCGATGGCCTTTAGTAACGGTGACTGAAAGATCGGCGGTAGTTACACAATGTTCGGGTGAGGCGTTTTTTAGAGTAAGGTTCTTGGGGCGTAGATAGTAAGGACTCATATGGGGAGAGCACTGGCCGTTAAGTAAAGAAGACAAGAATGTAAATTAATAAATATTCATTAATAATATCTGGCAGATTTATATAATATGATAAGAAGTGTATTCAAAGTCACACGATATTCAGTAAAAATTTTTCCTGATAAGAAGGAATAGTAGGTAGTATATGATACAAAAGCTCTATAGCGGTGGAGGAGGTAAGTATTAAAGCATAGATCAAGGACAGGTGGCAAGAAAGAAAACGCCCGTAACTTCTTATTCTTAAGAGCTAGTGCGTTTTATATGCGGTTAAATTTTCAAAAAGCGGGGGACCGGGGTTTATCGGATAATATCAAAGATAATTTTAACGCCTCAAAAATAATTTCAGTTTTTCTTGCTTTGAAATAAAAATATTCATATTTTATAAAATTTCTATCATATGTAGGTTATATATATGTATATATAAGCGAAAGGTGTTATTTGATGAAAATAAAAGATGTTGTAGAATATTATAAAACTAAATTGCAAAAATTCATTAAGTATATGTAAAAAAATAATTTTGAAGCGGGAAAAAAACTCCGCACAACTAGAGGCAACTAGTATTGGTAAACGGCTCAATTTCGTCGATTTTTAAATTAAAATATTGCTTAATTATCTGCAATAAAAAAGGATTTAAACGTATCTTACCCTGTTCACAAGCGTGAATTCGAGGCGAAGTATGCAAAAATAACTGTGAACGCAGAATTACGAGTCACATTCAGCTAGTGTTATTAAAAAGCTTGATTCAGTCGATTTTTAAAAACGGTTAACTCAAGATTTGAGTCAAAAGTAATTTACACAAGCTTGAAAATTTTGCCTACAGATGTCAAAAAGGTCTGGACATCTATTGACGAAATTTCGAAGCTTATGTAATAAAATCTTAGCTAAAATCTTGATTTAGCCATTTTAACAACAATACATTCAGCAATAAATATTGCCCATATTATAATAATTTTTGGAGAATAAAAAAAATCAGTGAAAGTCAGTTGATTTTTTTTATGACATCGGTTAATATAAATTTTAATTGAACGGTTATAAGCATAGTTAAGGGTAATTTATTAGTAAAAATTCTAATTTTATAAATTTAATATCGTTTCTCATAAATTCTACTATAAATTGATTTAGGGGTAAAATGTGAAAGGAACAAATATTAAATATTTTAGAAATAAGTGAGGGTAGATGGACAATACAAACAGATAGCATCCGAGCATATTTAAGTCAATGACAGGTATCTAGATATGAAGAAAACCGGATATATATTGACAAAATAATTTACCAACAAATTATAAAATATAAGCCTCAAAATTAAAGATACTAATTTCAATCACAAAATCTTGGATTTGAATGTGTTGCAAAAAAAAATAATCAACATATCAGATTCGTGTCGAACAATAAAAATCCTAATCTTCAATCAACTTTTCGGTGTCGCAGCGTCTTTGGTTGCAGATTTTCCCCTTTTGGCCTAGTCAAATCCAAATTTGGAAATAAACTTGGGGCCAGAAAAAGCTGGATTTAAATATTTTGATGAAGAAATTTTAATATTTAATTTATGCTGAAATTAAATACCAATTAAATATTTGAGTATTGTCTGTTAGTGTTACAAATATAAGTTAATAAAATGATGAAAAATTTAATGTTATAATAATTTTTAAGCAACTGAAAGGCCAATAAATAATTTTCACTTATCAAACTGCTAACATAGATTTAAATAATATTCAAAGGCTGTATTTGTAATAAAATGTCAAGTGATTTTAAGTGATGAATTTTGATCATCAATTCCACCCTGGTAAGTAAAGAAACCTAAATTATTTTTTTTAGGGAATGTGTTAAAATCTTTTTTTGCTATTAACCGCTAAAACATCTCCCTTTTTAAAAATAATTAACCATAGATCAGATAAAATGCATAGAGACATCTATTGACAAATTTTATATGTCTAGCTCTTAGGAATAAAAATCATGAGCGTTTCCCTTTTAGCCTTGCCTGCTATTCGTTCTCAGCCACTCCTATCACGATGTTTGGAATGAGTATACGTATATGAACTTATTGTTTAGACTGTTTATTATGCATATTAATTGTTAAATAGATATATTCAAAATTAAAAATTTATGTTGATTTTTAATTCATTTTTGTCATTTCATCCAGTATTACCATCTAACTCAGGCATGTTAGCAAAAAAATGTCTTTTATTAAATCTTAAATGGCGGTCAAACTATATGAAGTAATAAACTGGGATTTTTTTTTGATTCTGTATAACCTAAATGTTTTCACTATCATAGTAAAATAAAATTTTCAGCGGAAAAAAAACGAGATTCTTGCCATCGGTCTCCCCTATATTATTATAATCATGGATGATGGGCCCAGGCAAATTTACTAGTTAATCTAGGAGAACCGGAATGACAAAAACAACAATTATCTTATTAATCGAAAGTTTTGATAAAAAAAATACTTAATATTAATTATATAAAAAAAAGAGACTAAATTCTAATATAAAAATAAACTCAAAAAGACACACTACTGAATTAAAGAGTTAAATTCGGAATTATAAAATAAGGAAACACTTTTTTATTAAATTTCATAGTTTTTATCATTACAAAAAATATCATGAAAAAATTACCAAGTAAAAATAATGAATTCTTTTTCACAAAAAATTAACAAAACTATTTTTCAGAAATGACTGACATTTCATTAATTAAAAACTAATATATATATTTATAAAAATTGATTGACATTTCTATTAAAATAAGTATCATTTATGACAGTTATGACTTATCAAAGTTTCAGAAATAACGGTTTCAAAATTTCATATCGAAATTTACCGTATTGCATGCCATAATATTTTCGGTTTAAAACACCCATTTCCTTCTTTAAACTCTTAATCGCCGTAAAAAATTTATTAGTATGGATAATTAAATTAAAACCAGTTTAAGTGCTATGTGCGCGAAAAGTAATTCATCTATAAATAAGAGAATAAAATGGAAGATTAAAAAGTAGATTTTTATTATAGTTAAAAAGTTTGCCCCCATAAATTTAAATTTTCCGTTGATTGTAAAATTCAAAAAATGAAAGAAGCAAAAAAATGATTATTTTAAATAAACCTATCCATTCCTATTCTTTTTTTTAAAATGAACTTTTGGTGGCATTTCAAGGAGAGAACTTAGTAAAGTTTAAAGTTTAGTTAATATTTTTATCTATATAAACCATATTCAACATTAAAATAATTTTAAAATCTTTTTTCAATATTTTAATATTCATAAGAACAATGGGAAGATAATTTTAAAAAAAGAAGAATTAATCTTGTTATTATAAATGCCTAGCGATTATTTGGGGAAAAATAGAAAACGCACAATCCTTTTTTGAGTTATTATTAATTATTATAAATAACTCTATGAAAAATTATATAATATTTATTAAAAAAAATATAAAATTATAATAACAATTATCTTTCGATTCATAAAATTAGCATTATGATTAATTGCAATTTGCTATTCATATTGTTGTCATTCGAATAATGCTCAAAACAAATATGCTTATAAACCTTTATTTTTTTATCCGAGGAGCAGAGATTATCCATAGTATGTATACCTCCAAAAAAAATACTAGAGAAGGAACCATTTTGGCAGATAAAGTAACTAATTCTTTCGATTTCTACAACCTCGAACTAAATGCAGTAGTACACCAGTTTTTTGAATTACGGATTATAAAGCGGTTTGAAAACTCTATGGGCAAAATATTTTTCGTGCCGTCCCATAGAAAATATGATAAGAATAAACCTCCTCATTAGTGTAACTTCTATTCTTTCCCCCAATAAAAATAATCTTAAAATTTTTCCTTACATTTTAAAAGTGGGAATAGAAAATAAATTTTTGATAATGTTTTAACATATATTATTTGGAACATTTTTGAAATTAAACAACCATGAGGAAAAAATTGGAGTTTCTAGTCATTTTGGAAATTTAATTTGCAACTGAACATAAGATGACCATATATAATAAATTTTTGTTTTTCCCCTAATTATGTATCAATCACTGACTTAATCATATATATAAAATTTAATATTTGCCTAGTTTATTCTAAATTAAAATTACAAAATAATTTTATAACAATGTTTGATATATATCTTTTAATTTAAAATTTTATTAAAATTAATATCTATATAATAATATATATAAAAGCCTTGTCACACTGTGTCAGTGACTGTCACAGTCACTAATTTTGATAAGTGACTTGTGGCCCAATCGGCAAGAGCGTCGTTTACAAATATAATGGACTTAGGTTCGAATCCCAGCAAAGATTTTTTTTTCTCAATCTTGGCAAAATATTTTTTTTCTTTCTTAATCTGGCAAAATTAATCAGATAAGATTCAAAGTTTGTAGCTACTTTAAAATTCAAACTATTAAATAGGTATTCTTATATTTTTAAATTTTTAATATTCTTTTAAAAATATCCGTTAATAACCAATAGTATTCTTATAGCATCATACCATATCAAACACTTATTCATCAAAGCATCCATTAAAATAATATCTAACATTACCATTTTACACCATAAACATATATCTATCTATAATAATATATATAAAAGCCGTGTAATAGTCACATCACAGTGTCACAATTTATAATATATATATTTAAAAAATCGACCTAGAAAAGCGTCTGTGGCCTAATCGGCAAGAGCGTCGCTTACGAAGCTGATGGCTTTGGGTTCGAATCCCAGCAATGCATTTTTTTTGTTAATCTAACTTTGTAGTGTTGTTAAGGTAACGTTACCTGTAACTAGTTACATTTTGGCTAAAAAATAACTGTAACTAGTTATATTTTTAAAATTGTAACTAGTAACTGTAACTAGTTAAAATTTTTGAAATGTAACTGCCAAAAGTAACTAGTTACTTTTAAAGATATATTCAAATAATTAATTTTATTTTTAATATATTGTGATTGTGAAAAGGTCTGATTGTTCCCAACAATAACACAAATACTTATATGTATGGCAGATGTGT